TGGTGTAACTCCAAAAATGCAGGGAAAGGGAACTTTGGTTTTTTAGGCTGGACTCAGTGATCTCAAAGGTCTTTTCCAGCCTGGTTCATTGTGGGAACCTGGGACTTCTGCTCCCTGGAATCCAGGAACTCCTGGAGATCCAGGAGATCCCTGGCTCCCTGGAATTCCAGGGGAAATGGAGGAGTTTGGAGCTTCCAACTCAGCCCCGGCTGCTCCAGTGGGGGAATCAGATTTGGGCTTTCCCTGAGTTTGGTGTGTCCCATTCCAACCCAGCTGATCCCAGGAGGGAATTCCTCCCATCCACACCAGGCTGCCCATCCCCTGCTCCTCCCCATTCCCAGAGGGAATCCCAGTCTCCATCCCTGCTCTCCCTTACCTGCTTCTCCCAGGAGAAGGAAAATCCTTGGAGTCTTCCCTGCCCTTGGGAGCTGCTGTTGGTGTAATTCCAAAAATGCAGGGAAAGGGAACTTTGGTTTTTTAGGCTGGACTCAGTGATCTCAAAGGTCTTTTCCAGCCTGGTTTGTTCTGGGATTCCGGAACTTCTGTTCCATGGAAGTTGGAGCTTCCATTGTCCACCTGAGCCCCCGTTGCTCCAGTGTGGGAATCAGAATTGGGATGTGCCTGAGTTCATAGCATCCCATTCCAACCCAGCTGATCCCAGGAGAGAATTCCCCCATCCACACCAGGCTGCCCATCCCCTGCTCCTCCCCATTCCCAGAGGGAATCCCAGTTTCCATCCCTGCTGTCCCTTAGCTGCTGCTCCCAGGAGGAGGAAAATCCTTGGAGGCTTCCCTGCCCTCGGGAGCTGCTGTTGGTGTAACTCTGAAAATATGGGGAAAGGGAACTTTGGTTTCTAGGTTGGACCTCAAAGGTCCAAAGATCTGAAGGGTCTTTCCAGCCTGGTTTGTTCTGGGATTCTGGCACTCCTGCTCCATGGAAGTGGAGGAGTTTGGAGCTTCCAACTCTGCCCTGCTGCTCTAGTGGGGGAATCAGATTTGGGCTTTCCCTGAGTTTGTTGTGTCCCATTCCAACCCAGCTGATCCCAGGAGGGAATTCCCCCATCCACACCAGGCTCCCCATTCCCAGAGGGAATCCCAGTTTCCATCCCTGCTCTCCCTTACCTGCTTCTCCCAGGAGAAGGAAAATCCTTGGAGTCTTCCCTGCCCTCGGGAGCTGCTGTTGGTGTAACTCCAAAAATGCAGGGAAAGGGAACTTTGGTTTTT